ATTGACTAGGAGATCTCCCCTGCCAGGAACTAAAAGGCTTTAATTTTATGAATCATCAAAGCTTTTTTTCTATACATGATGTAGAATAACCTTTTCTTTTCAGAAAGTCTAATCCAATAGCCTCCCAGACCTCAGGATGTCACCAAATGGCATGTGCGTGGTGTGCAAGAAGAACAAAGGAGAAAAGTATTCAAAGCTGAGCTGTATATTGCATAACACCCTGTATGAGAAAATCTCGGCCCATAAAACGCTTACCTACTTTGGAGTTTAAATAAAGCAGAATGGTGTTCCTTTTTAAAGAACTGCTTTACAGTTATCTTCCTGTCAGAATTCCAATTATTCTATGACTCAGTGGGTATATGTCTAGCTTTTTTAAAATTCTTTTTTCGGGTAAGAATGTGAAGAAGTTTTTATGAGAAGTTTGTAAAGGAAGGGTTTATATAATGATGCTGAGCTGCATCAAACACAAATACAATTTATTTCATTATTTGAAATAGTGTTTTGAAAATAATATTTTCAGAATTGAGCCTTACCTGTAAAAGTGATAAACATTTTCTCTGATGCCTTTGAAAATGTGGTAACTAACTTCAGCTTAGGAATTAACTTATATTTCTGGCAGGGTTGAGGGGATTCAATATTCACTTCTGTTCGTCTTCTGGAGTAAGACTTTCATAAAAGAAGAAGAAACAGACTGGAATTTTGTATGCAAGGGATTAATTTTTCCTAATTTTCATAGGAAAATTTCCTTTGATAGGAAGCATAGGCACTTCCTATTTCACCTGCAGCAGAGACTGGCTAGTCACTTCCGCCTTCTCCCGAGCACACAACTCCGCCATATTTCTCAGCCCCTCACGCGGCTGAACGCGGCCTCCAGACTAGCTCTAGCCAATGGAATGTGTACAGCAATGATGCCCTCACCTTCAGGCCTGGCCCAAACTTTCCAATCCACTCCTAACTCTGAATGGCAAAGGATCCGGGCGAGGATGCTGAGGCCACTCACCAATCATAAACACCCACAACAGTGAACTTTGAATAAGTAAGAAATAAACTTTCATCGTAGTAAATCACTGAGACTTTAGAGTGTTTTCATTTTGTGTTGTTGTTGTTTAGTAGCCGCTAACACATCACTCATTGTCCTTTCTTCTTTCTTTCTTGGTCTCCTTCTGCTTGCCTCATTTCCTTCCTCTTATTGTCTTTGGGTATCGTGTGATTAGGTCTTTCTGATTTAACCACCAAAACCAAACTGCTTTTATTGGATTTGGGGCAAAGGCCTTCACAGTGTTGAAATAATAAGCAGACCCAATTCATTTAATTAGCAGGAAATGTTCAATCAATTCAACTTTTTAAAAAGCTTACATGCTAGGATAATTTTTATTCAACAACTATTTGAGTCAAGGGTCACACTTACCCAGTTTAGCGATCACATAAGAGTCTCACGGTAACTGTGACAAGTGTGATAATCTCAGTGCTGGAGACCCAGCAGATGTGTACACAACCACCACCTTCTGAGGAGGAAAACCAAGGTGCGTGGACTTGAAAACAGACATTAGCCTAAGCCCTCAGGCTTGACTCGTATGTCACCATGGCTTCCAATAGGCAAACATGGACATTGTACAGTGTCAGGCATCTGTAAGAGCAGGCCAGGAAAAAATATTAGCCCTGCATATGACTGGGTGAGGCTTCCAAAAGAATTCGAGTTTCAAAACGGCTTTTTAAAAAATCCAAAATGAAAATTCCAATCTGATTTTGTGTCAGCTGCTTTCTTTCAGATTCAATATGGCAATTTATCCTCTTCCTCCTCTTCCTGCTCCAAGTTGGTGGTTCTCAAGCTGGGCTCGGTGAAGCCCATTCAGAGGCTGTCTCAAGAAGTGGGCTCCAGGCAACTCGCTCCAGATTTGACAAGAAAAGCTTTCTTTTGATCCGTTTTTGCAAAGGGGACTTCTGCAGAAGCATTTATTTTGGGGTGTGAGTTGGGAAGTTTCCCTTGCTTTATAGGGTTACAAGCCATAGCTTTATATGTTCTGCCTGGACACCACACCTACTCTAATAGTTTTGGTAACACAAATACCCAGTGAGGTCCAAATCTGAGTCTACAGCACACGTCTTTTCTGGGCCCCCCCCACTCATGGTCCCACTCGTATTTCACCACCTCCACTCGGTGAATGCCTCATAGCCACCTCTTCACAACGTTCCTGGAATAGAATGCATTATCCTGCCTACCCTTCTTCCTGCACTGATGACATCACCATCCACCTGGTGATTCAGAGAAAACTCTGAATCATCCTGACCCCCTTTCCCTTCCATCCCCAAATCCACTCAGTCATTTAGTCCTGTTTGTAAGCTGTCCTAATTATCCGTTAAATATTTCCTTCCTCTCCATCCTCATTGCCACTGCTTCAGCACATACGCTTGTCACCCTCCTTCAATCCGGACCATTACAATCACCCCCAGTGGCTCTCCTACCACTCTATCCCTGGCTGCCTTGCTTTCTCTGAAATACAGTGGAAATCATAAACGTTAATATTTATCTTTAGCTTGGCAGTTAACAAGTTGCTTTCATGTACATTTTCATATTTAAGTATCCTAGCATTCCAGCAAGAAGACATTGTTATTCTTAACTTAGAACAAGAATTTGAAGCCTGAGAAATCATCTTGATCAAGGATCCTCAAAAAGTCAAAAAGCTGCTGTTCAAACCTGAGGACTCTAAAGTTTATGCTGATGACATTAAACCACACTACCAAACACATGTCAGTCCTTGGTTTGAACACCTTCAATTTCTCACCACTGGCTACAAGAGAAAGATCAGACCTTTTAGCACAATGAGAAGGCTCACTATAATTATGCCCCAAGGAGCTTTAGCGGTTAATAGTAGTAGTTAACAGTCCAGCTCTGGAGTTAGAACCCACATTCTAGTCTAACCTCGTGGATAAGCTATATAATCTCTCTAAACCTCAGTTTCCTAACGTGCACACTGAGGCTAATCATAGAGTTTACCCCACAAGGTTGTTGTGGGGCTTAAACAAGATGGCGCATGTGATGTACTTCACACACTGCTTGTCTAGTAGAGAGTGCCTGGTGAATGTGGGCTATGGGCACGGATTTACCAGCCTCATCCTGCAGCATTTGTTTTCCCATCTTCCACCCTTCAAGCAGCCCACCTACACTTTCTGTTATCTCCTCTATGAAATCTTGAAGATCCCAGTTGGCGATTTCCCCACCACTTCGTACACACCTCTATAGTTAGATACTCGGTTGGGTTGTACAGCCCTTAAGACCAGCAGTGGAATGTCTCCTGGGAGGGGTTAGTAGATCTTGGAGGAAGTCCCCACTACAGAATGCTCTTCCCCATGCTCTCCCAGGTCTCCTGCCCTAAATCTCTTGTTCCCTTGCTCTACCTCTCCCTTAACCCCTGCCACTTCTGATGTCATTTGTCCTCCAGGCTTGCCCTTGCTCTAATTTGACAGCCCTGCTGAAGGCATCTGACCTGAGCTCCATGCCAGTGCTGTGTGCCAATTAAGGGCAAGGCTTTGGCAACTCGTCTCTCTCTCTCTGGCATCCGACCTCAGTCTGTCTCCTGTTTCTAGATTTTCTGAAGCTGACAACTCCCAGGGACTGACCAAACACAGTTCAGATAGGATGATCACAGATCTTACCACACTGTTTTGTGTTGTTTCTCTCATCCATCAGACTGAACTCTTCCAAGACAGAGACGTCTTGTCTTTGATCTCAGTAGATCCTCTGTAGCATCTGGTTCAGAATAAACTCTTTATCATTGCTTGTTGATTGAATAGACTATTGTTCCCCAAACAAATGGCTGTGAATCTTGGGAGCTCCTGCTGTATAAGTTCTTAAGACCACACAGAGCCATCTGATAGTGCACTCAATCTTCTGAAACTCCTCTTATACAACCAGTTTCAAATCAATGAAACACTACATCATCTGTAGTGTTTTTTCCTACCAAAATATAAAAGTATTTCACCTATAAAATGTTTTTTCTTATTTTTTGCCATTACTTGTTGACAGCATTCTATAAATTTGACTATGTCATCAACAATCTATTTATTTAGCTTCATTCTATGCATTTTCAAGGTTAACTGTTTGCTTTTTGCTGCATACCCTTACGATTGTACGTAAATTTCTTAAAAGAAGTCTTTGTGTAGTTTGTTTGTTTGCTTTTTTTTGGTGGTACCTTGTTGAACAACCTTATACAAAGTGCATACCACAAAATATTGCTTACATTGAAATATACCACTGTTTTTCAAGTTCCGCTGCTGAAAAATAAGCTCATTTTGTGTTTGACTCAACTATCATGGCTTTCACTGGATACATTTTTCTTTAACCACAGAGCCCTAATTTTGTTTTTGTCTGTAAAACAACAAGATTGCCTAGATGATCACTGTTTCTTTTCACTTCCAGCCATACGTAGTGTAGAGTTCTGAAATACAATTAAAAACCCTGGTTTTAGCCACCCAGGGGCACCTGCGTGGCTCAGCCGGTTAAGCGTCTGCCTTTGGCTCAGGTCATGATCTCAGGACCCTGGGATTGAGCCCTGCATCGGGCTCTCTGCTCAGCAGGGAGTCTGCTTGTCCCTCTCCCTTTGCCTGCCTCTCTTTCTCTCTCTGTGTGTGAAATAAATAAATAAAACCTTTAATAGACAAAAAAACTAAAAAAATCTATTGATTTACTAAAAAGAAAAATACACTTTGAAATTATTAAGATTTTGGAACATATCATTTGAACCAGAAATTATTCTTCTGCAAAGTTCTCCTAAAGAAATAATCAAGGATAGATGCAAAGCTTTAGCTAAATGGTGGTTCTCAGCATTTAGATTGGAAAAGAAACTCATTAAATGTTCGTGGATTTTAGGAAGTGTCATTTCCCAAACAAGTCGCACTGTGCTTTAAGGCTACTACTCTGTAAAAATTGTGGACTGGGCACACAACAGGGAAGAAACGTCTAATCACTTCCTTCTGGGGCTCAAGTCTTGCAGCTGAGTCATTCCGGGATCAAACCAGGCAGGGCGATCTTCCTTTATCCCCTGACCAGCTTCATTACAGGACAAACCAGAGGGGATTGAGCATCTTAGAATCGGAGCCAGAGGTACGAGGAACAAGTAGCTGGACGGAGCAGAGGAGCGGAGGAGAGGTAAAAACTAGAAGGGAGAAGAGAGGAGGCCGTAGGAAGCTCTAGGGGTGGGGGCGGCGTGGGGTCCGAAACACAAGTTGACTACGGAGGATGAAAGCGGAAAGCGCTCTCTTGCGTCACCTTCTGGTATCCACGTGTATGTGCACCAGATAGACCTTACCCTCTGCTCCTAAACTGCTTGTTTGCTCTTCTAAATGGTTAGGACATAGTTGAGGGTTTACGATAGATAATAACCAAAAGGTCTAACAATAGGAGATGGATTGAAAAAATGTTTATAGAAGATTATTGTAGGGGAGGGAAAATAATGTTCCCTCTCCCCTAAGTTCTTAGCTGAGACCCCCATGGTAAAAGCCAGATTAACAAGAGAAAAACAATTTTATTAACATTATACCTCATGTACACATGGTAGATACTCAGGAAAAAATGAGTAACTTCCCAAGATGGCTTAGAATTCAGGCTTAAAATCCATTTCTGAAGAATATTTAATCACATGGGAATTTTGTGTAGGTTTTTTAAAAGCGAGCTATGCAATGCACATCCCAATATGGGGAAAAAAAGTGTAAGTATGGTATATATTATCTAAGGTGCAAAGGAAAATGTCTGGGCTAACAAGCAAATGCCAAGATAGATTCTGTGGTTATTTCCAGCAATGGAATTACAGGTAGCATTTATTTTATTTTCTTCATACTATTCTGTATCGTCCAAAATTTCTACAACGAATATATTTTATTTTTATGATCCACAAAAAGGTTTAAATATGTAAGAAGTGTGCGTTAGAGACAGAGAACAGTGTCCTAAGGGTCAGAGGTCACCAAGCATCCTAATAATGTGAAAGAGATATAAGCAGCTATTTGGTGGGAAAAACCCAGATTCAACTCTGAGGCCTGGATGGGACTCAAGGGCCCTTGAGATTTTACTGTTATTTTTCTATTGCAATTTAAATTGTAATTTGCAGCGCAGTAAAGAAAGCTCTTTTTATCTTTTGATAATACAAACATAAATTTCCCTATTGGCAGATAAGTTTCCCCTGTATAGCTAATAGATATGTGCATATTTTGCATGGCTAATCATGTCATTTGCATATAATTTAAACCCATAAGTCATGTTTATAAGAATTCTGAGCCACTCTCATTGCATTCAGCAAGCAGGGTGAACAAATTACATCCTGTCGCTATTAAACTATGATCATAGAAGCAGTGGAGGAGGCTCTAATCCCAGCTCTCTATTGAGGGGCTTACCAGTGACCTTGGGCCTACCACAGAACTTCTTAGGGCCTCAGTTTTGTGATTCACAAACGAGGGAGGTAAGCTACTATTGCTCAGGCCCAGTAAAGTCTAGGATTTGAGGATTTCCTTTTCCCCATGGTAAAACTTGACAACATGCTAAAAACATAATGAAGACTGAACACTCTTTGAACACTAATAATCTTTATTCTACATGCTTTACTGAAAAGGAACAATTGCTATTTTAAAAAAGAAATGTCTGAGGCTGCTTATGCATTCTGGAAGGTGGAAGAGATAAGGCTGGTCTTTTGTATGAGAAATACCTGCATGGGGCTTTTGGTTTTAAAAGGTGATTTCTGCAAGGCATATTGCAGAAAGAGCTACTTTGACAGAGAACTGAATTGCTCTGTAGGTAAAAAAGAGAGATTGTGGGTTTGCTGTGATAAAATGAGGGGTAGCTGTACCAGTAGGAGTGGCTTTAGCCCTTTCCTCTATCCTCCATCAGACCCCCAACCCACTCCAGGTAACATACAAGCTAAGGCCAAGCAGCGTGCTTCTAAACAAAGGAGACTTTGAAATAATGCCTTTAGTCCTGACTTCCAGTCAAATTGTTCTCCCCAAGACTCTTCATCTGTGTAAAAGGTTTGAGAATCACGCCTGGCAGGAGAACTATTTGGAAATACTGAGGACTTCTCAAGAGGAGGACAGAGGAGAGAAGGGTCAGAGCAGAGGGGAAGGCAGGTCCCAGAAGGGTACAGGAGCCAGGACTGACAGGAAAGACAACGACGGAAATTCCTTGCAGGGGACAGTCGGCCGAAGAGCTCCCACAACAGCAAGGCCTGCTGTTCAACTTGAAGTGGTTTTCTCTCTGTGCCACGCTGTAGCCCGTCCTCTGTTATTCCAGACCTTCAGCAGAAGCTTACAGCATATAATTGTCTAGCGCTACTAGTTCTTTGGGGGATTGAAGGGGTCCTTATAGGGCCGAACAGGTAAGAGCAAGAACTGTAGCTTCAGGAGGTGAGAAATGGAATTCGGCGGAATCAGAGTGAGAGGTGACTTAAAGAACATAAGCCACCCGACCTCCCACACACCCTTGTCCTCTGCTGTGACACGTGAGCGCATGCACATGCATGCTCGTGCACACGCGTGCACACACACATACACCCACACACTCATGTACCCCATACCAGTAATCTTCAGAAATACTGGAAGGAGACAGGACTTCTCATAATATATGGGTTGGGGGCTGGGAGCTAATCATTTCATCTGAATATTATAGGACAGGGTATTCTCAGAAGGTTGGAACACTGGTGAATGGCTTTCATTTGAATGTGGGATTCTTTTTTTTTTCAAGATTTTATTTATTTATTTCAGGGCCCGCAGGAGCGAGAGCAGGAATGCAGCAGGAAGGAGCAGAGAGGGAGGGAGGGGGAAAGGGAGAGAATCCCAAGCAGACTCCCCACTGAGAGCAAATCCCCACGAGGGGCTCCATCCCAGGACCCCGAGATTATGACCGGAGCTGAAATCACGAGTCGGACACTTAGCCAACTGAGCCACCCAGGCGCCCCTTGAATGTGTAATTCTTTTTTTTTTTTTTAAGATTTTATTTTTATTTATTTGACAGAGAGAAAGAGCACAAGCAGGGGGAGTGGGAGAGGGAGAAGCAGGCTCTCTGCTGAGCTGGCCTCGATCCCAGCACCCTGGGATCATGACCTGAGCCTAAGGCAGACGCTTAACCCACTGAGCCACTCAGGCATCCCAGAATGTGTAATTCTTTTTTTTTTTTTTTTTAATTTGACAGAGAGACAGCGAGAGAGGGAACACAAGCAGGGGGAGTGGGAAAGGGAGAAGCTGGCTTCCCGCGGAGCGGGGAGCCCGATGCGGGACTCGATCCCAGGACCCTGAGATCTTGACCTGAGCCAAAGGCAGTCCCTTAACCAACTGAGCCACCCAGGTGCCCCCAAAATGCATAATTCTTAACAGAGAACACATTTTTGTAATATTAGTAAAATTTAGCCTCAGGTGGCTCAGTTTTTTTTTCTTTAAAAGAGAGTAGCAACCTCCATTGTAGTAGAAGTCACTTCTCCAATTGTTGGCAACATTTTCAGTGTTTGGTTTCTATTTTAACCTCTTGCTCAGTCAGCTGAGCTCCATTCACATCTTGTACTCACAAAGGTTCCTTCAGCCTCAGGGGCCTCGGTCTCTCCTGGGTCCTTCCTGAGATCCTTGCCCTTAAGGGACCAAAGAAGTGCCTGATCCACCCACTCAGGCCGTCTTCTCTTGTCATTGGGGTTTTTTTCATTTAAAGGATTGAGTTTCCGTAGCAGATACGGTGTATCTGATGTGATGCTCCCTCATTTGGAGTATGTAAAACTAGGAACACTTAACATGTGACCGTAACAGAAGTAAATATACCAGATGGGGCTTGGGTTTCGCGGACCTGTTTTTATCCCGATTTACTGTCAGCTTCCGTGACCACAAGTTGAAGAAAGGTCCAAACCCTCTGTTTGTACTGCTGCTGCTGTATCACTTGTAAAAACAAAGTTTAAAGTACGAGGTCATGAAATGATTCTGCGAGCCAGAACGTGTTCTAGTTATTCATGAAAATATGCAAGCAAATGCTTTTGGGGTGTGATGATTGTTAAGTGTAACAAGATGGCGGAAACACATTCGATTAGCAGCTGCTACAAGCACTCCTCCCAGGGGGAGCTTGCCTTCAGTAGGAAACACCCTTCCTGCCTGGGGTAGAAGCTGGGTCTGCAGAGGCTGGAGTTTGGCTTGTCACCCCACAGGGAGCTCCTGGGTGAATCTGGAGGGGGGAGGGAGGAGAAGAAAGGGAGAAAGAGACAAAGTGAGAGAGGATATGTTGGGAGCTGTACCATGACGGGGTGCCCCCTGAATCTCCAGAGAGTTAAAAAAAAAAAATCACAAAACGTTTGGTGTGATTGCCTTTCTTGTGGAAACCTGAGGCGAGCGAGCACCTGTGTAGTCCTGGAGAGAAGCAGCCCGGGGCTGCCCTGGAGGGACGTGGCCAGCACGCACGCTCAGAGGGACACTGAGGAATAGCCCAGGGAGCAGAAGCTGCAACAGTGCAGCAAGCCTGAGTGCTCGCAAGGGAACAAGGGTACAGACCGAGAGAACAGATATAGGGGATCTCACGAGTTGGAGGGCAGGCTTGAGGAAGAGTGTTCCAAGAAGGCAGCCTGTTTTCTCCAGGAGGGACATAGGAGCCAAATCCTTGCAGGAAAAAGAAAAATAGGCCGATCGTCTGTTCTTAAATGGAGCGCAGGCATTCCTGGAAACTGCATCATTAAGGGGACTGCTACAAAATAAAACCGGTTTGCCCCCTAGGAAAATTATTATAACAGAATAGCATCCGGACCAAGGACTCAGCATTGCATAAACCATAAATACAACCGACCACATGTTATCAAAGCAAAATAGGTATGCACTCATATGATCACTTAAAACTGTAAAATTATTCTTGAGTTCCAGAAAACAGGCATAAATGTAATATACTCATAATTTTACAAGAGACTCTATCCTATATGCTATAAAGTAAATAGTTGTAAAAGCTAGAGTAATAATTTTTAAAAAATATTTTCTTTATTTATTTGACAGAGAGAGAGAGATCGCGAGAGAGGGAGCACAAGCAGGGGGAGTGGGAGAGGGAGAAGCAGGCTTCCCGCGGAGCAGAGAGCCCCCGACTGGGGGCTCCATCCCAGGAGCCTGGGATCATGACCTGAGCCGAAGGCAGAAGGCAGACGCTTAACGACT